TCCTCCTACCTCATCCTCCTGAGCTGCTGGATTATAAGCACTTACCACCACACCTGGCCCATTTCTTTCTTTTTTTTAATTTCAAATGACTGGTATTTAATATTTCAGTATCCATAAATATCTGTATAGTAGCATTTGTTTAGAACTTTTTGTTTTTGATACCAGGAATTGAACCCAGGGGCACTCAACCACTAAGCCACATCCCCAGCCCTTTTTTGTATTTTTATTTAGAGACAGGGTCTCACTGAGTCACTTAGCGCCCAAAGTTGCTGAGGTTAGCTTTGAATTCACAATCCTCCTGCTTCAGCCTCCCAAGCTGCTGGTATTACAGGTCTGTGCTACCATCCCCAGTTTGAGGACAATGATGTCTATGATACCTTTTAGTAACCTTTATTAAAGCGCATAGTTCCTGGCTCTAATTTTTTGAGAACAGGGCCTTGCCCTGGAGCTTGGTCCTGCATTGTGCCTTAGCCCTTAATGGGATAGCAGCTTACTTGTGTTTTCCTTTTATGTTATGGACTAAACTGTGAACCCACCAAATTTATATTTTGAAGCTGTAGCTTCCAGTATCTCAGAATGTGATTGTATTTGGAGATAATGCTTTTAAAGAGGTGATCAGATTAAATTAAGATCATCAGTCCAATCTGACTTAGGATATACAGAGAAACACCAGGGGCGCATGTCAGAGGAAAGCCTGTTTGAATAAGCAGCAAGAATTGTCATCTGCAAACACAGCAGAGGTCTTGGGAGAAACTAGTCCTTCTGGTACTTTGTTTACATACTTCTAGCTTCCAGAACTATGAGAAAATTTTGTTGTTTAAGTCATCCAGCCTGTGATATTGTTATGGCATTCCTGGCAATGTAATATACTTTGCAAATCATTTTATTTCAATAATTGGTGGAAATGTTTCTTGACAATTTGGCATTGTATTTGCAAGGACCACTCTATGAAATTGACAATAAAGAGGAGCTCCAAGTTAATAAAACTTTTGATTTATCCAGGGAGTACCATGTAAACACTGGGGAGACTGGCAGATCTAGTTTAAGTGATGTGAAAATAAGAGGAAAAAAAAAAAAAGTGGTCTTTGATTTGGTTACTTTTTTTAATACATATTTGGCAGTTTATGTGCCAGACATTGTCTTGGGGACTAGGAAGCTGATGGCAGATAGTATAGGCCTGCTCTTTGCTCTCAGGGTGTAGTGTAGTGAGGCAGGCAGATATCAAATAGGTATGCAAAGAGGTACAGTCAATATGCAATGAAAATTTCTGATGGGGTAGAAAAAGGCCTACCAGTGAATATTTTCTTGAGGAAGTGGTTTAAGCTGAGATTTGAAGGGTGAGTAGGAGAGTCTAAGCCAAAGTGGAGCAAAGTGTGTCCCATGAAGTAGAGGGGAAGCAAAGCCTCTAGGCCTCCCTTCTCATTATGGAGAGCCCTCAAGTGAGCCTGTCCTTATATCCTTCATTCTGGTGGTTGGTGGGTTCAGCACTCAGTATTCTGAGAAGGGTGCTATCAGTCTTGGTTAAATTTTAACTGCAACACAAAACTGCAGTGAATACCTTGCCTTTATATTTATCTTGCTGCTTTAATAGAATTTGGCAATTGTTCTCCAGGAGATGGGTCAGCATGTCTTCAAAGTAATTTTTCCTATTCAAGGCCTGTACACAACTATAATGGATCTGTCACTCCCAGGGTGAATACTTTCCCTTGCAAGATTACAGAGTAGCCAATTATGCGGATATTAAGGGGTGAAAGTCTTACTTTCTCACATGAAGTTCCTGGTTTCTGCTGACAGATTCCATTGCCCAGCTTATTGTGTGCATATATTCCAGCATACAAATGACCTGCCCAAACTCACAGTGGGCTGTTGAGAAGCTCATGGATGTCTGTGTCTGGGGCCTTTGAGCAGAGGGACAGAGATTAAAATGAAGAGCTAGAAGAAGCAAGTGAAATTATTAAACGTGCCTTTGCTCCCCAATTCTCTATGAATTGTTTTTAGCAATTCAATCAGGCAGTCCTCAGCTTCCTTCTTTCATCCATTTTCTCTTC